ACAAAAGGTTTAAGTCCATATTTTTAGTATTTGTTTTTCTATCTAATGAAAAATCTTCATGCACAGATATATCGCACAGAGTCTGATGCCTTTTATTAAACCATCCCCTGGAGATTTTCCTAATATGAGGTACAACTAAGCCATAAAGAAGTGACTGTTTGGTGGTTATTTCATCTCTTAACAGTAGAAAAAACTACAAAGTCTGACACAGTTGGGGAGGTTATAAAAACAAAGGGGGGGTTTTACCAGTTGATGAAAGAAAAGTGGAATTATCCAGGTTTATAAACCTAATTAATTCATTTTAGACCAGATGTTTGCTGGTTTTAATGAGATTACAGACACATAACTCCTTTGTGGAGGGCAGTGTCTCAGAACTTTGACAAATGTTCTTGTATTAATTCATGTTTGTCAGAGCTAACTGGGATTGTGGGGGTGGAGGATTGGCCCCCTCCTGAGTGGGAAGCGAAACCAAGATACACTTCAACTCTACATGTTTTAAAGGACCTTTTTAACACAGGGAATAAAAACATGTGTGTTTTTTTATCTGTGAAACTAAAGAAAGCATTAGTTTCATTTTAAAAAAGGATCTTTCTCCATAGATGACCCTGTTCTAGCCTCATTCTGAGCCAAAAACTATTTTTCCAAACATTCAGTTTTTGTCTTCATCAGTCCAGTAAGACTGAGACTGCTCTGGTGTTTTAGGATGTCCACTCAGGATGTTCTGTTTAATTTCCTGATAGCCTTACAGGAACAACCCATTAAGAAAGAACATCCATCTCCAAAATCCAATGAGTCCTTTGCTTTTGTCCGTTCTTCACTGTGTGCTGGGCTGAGAAATCAGGAGGGTAAGTTTGACATTTTGGATAATGTCGTTAGTGTGTTTGATGGCACCAAGCCACCAAATGACTCTCAAAAAGCTTTTGATTCATTGAAAAAGGAAAACATGTCAATTCAAGGAAAACATGTTAATTCATTAAAGAGACCTGAGAGAGATCTGAATCAGGAGGGTTTAACCAGACCGGGAGAGGCTTCGTGTCAGTGTTATGCTCCTGAAATCTGGATCAGAGAGGAAGACCTCAGCCCAGAAGGTTTAAATCCAGATGAAAAACGTCTGTTTAACTGGATGTGTTTTATCTTCTTTCTTCACTTTTTATGTATATAATGATGGTTTTATTTTGTTTAACGAATTTGTATTTATTTTTCTTCATATTTTCTGCTAAAGCCCTTTGGATTGTCTTGGACTTGAAATGTGCTGCAGGACAAACCTGCCTCATTCCCCAAAGAGGAGCAGGGACTGAGGCTCCTGTTTTAAAGGCTGTGAGCTCTGGAGATGACAAAAATAACCACCTTTAAAAAAGCCCGAGAGCAAATCAGCTGGAGTATTTACCGACCGCTTCGTTTTCATTTCGGTGACTATATTTTCTGATCTGATTCCCCTTCGCTGCTTCCTGCCCCTCGTATCGATCCATCTGCATCACCGGGCAGCCGGCCGGCACAAATCCAACATGTCGCACAATAAACGGCCGTCCCGGACTCATCAACACTTCAAAATCTGCTATTAGAGGCAGATTTTTTTTAGAAGTGAGGGTGCCATTAAGTGAATTATTGTCTGTCGCCGGATGCGGAGCCCTGATGGAATAATCCAATTCCGTATGTAAAGCACAACCTGTAATTGAGTTTTTCAGACGTGATTGCATTTAGTTGACGAGGCGCTGGTGGATGTGACGCCTGCTGGCTCCAGACAGCCAGGTGCACGGGAAGGTTGTCCCGTCCTGTTTAGAACAACCTTTTCTTTCACCCCCACAAACAGGAAAAACACCAAACGCTCTTAGTTTTTTTATCTAAATTTAGCGGTGGCTCAGAGTGTGTCGAGTGAAGGAAGATGGAACCAACAGGATCCTAATTAAAGTAAACAAAAGTGCTGCCAGAGAAAAGGATAATTACAACGTTCAGATAGGAAAACAAGTGTGAGTGCTTGGAGGAAAGACAGGAGGAGAGCTGCGCTGCTGCCATCATGCAGGCAAAAAAAAACATGGCCGGACTCACACGACAGTGTGTTCCCAACCTAAAGAACACAATCAATGAGGATTGGAAAATCCAAGAGGAGAAGGTGCTGAGGGAGGGGCTACTAAAAGGAACAGGAGGTGGAACCAGGCGTGACAGGGAGGCTGAAACCTGACAAACAAACAGGATTTCCCACGTTGGAGCCGGAAGTAACAGCACAGAATAAACAGAATCATGATGACAGAGCACAGAGGAGCCAAGAGGTTGTCCACCATGTGTCCCACGATGTACCCAAGCCAGGTTTTCTGGTCCTTGAGAGGAAATCTTAATTGGGAACCTAATTATAACCCCCCGATTGGCTGGTCCTTAAGTCTAAATGAGACTCTAAACGAGGTTCTGTTAGCTCAGAGATTAGGAATCAAAGATAGTGTCATTAGCCCCCATCATACCAAGTCAATGCTAAGCTTGATTAGCTAATTTTAGCATTCTTTTCAAAATGCCCGAATCTACCTGAAAGACTGGAAATCTGTGTGAGGAGCAGAAACAGGCAGCAGAAAAGGGAAACCTGCTCTGAGGAGGACTGGGAGTATCTGAGGGCTGGAGGGGGGCCGTTCTGTTTATCCCTAAAAGAAACACCCCGCCGTGGGCTTTTCTCACAGATCTGAACCGTTTTTAACATCAGGACATAAAACAGAGGTATGCACTCAAAGCGTCCGCCTTGCTCCTGAGTGGCTTCACTTTGTCTCTGATAGTGGATGGACGCCATCTAATATTCATGCCGGGTTTCTGGGAGTTTGTGGCTTGTTCCTTCTGAGTGTTCTCTTTGTGGTAAAAGGGGAACATCACCACAGCACCTGCTTCCCCCCTCCGACCAGACCGACTGCTGGCCGATGTTCTCCCAGTTTTAAGGGGCTCCACACAGAGCTGAGTTCTTCCTTTAGATGCTTTGTGTGACGTAAACTGTAAACTTTGGGGTGTTTAAATTGCTTTATTTTTAGTTTGGAAGCATGCAAATCCTCCTCATTTCCCAGGAGCCCGTTTGGGGAATCTGAACTGGGACACCGACTCCTTTCTAATCTTTAAAAATGTATTCCTAAACACACGGAGCTGCTGAAATACGGCACAAAATCCAACAAAAGAGCCGATAAACTAGGCAATAATTTTTCCCAATTCAAGTGAAATCATGGATCAAAATGTCATTTGATACATTAAACGACATGTGATAAACCCTTTGAGTAACAGCAAAGGAGTAAAAAATAGAATAATATCACCAATTTTAGGTCATTTTACGGATTTTTCAGCCTACTTTGCTCCAAACCCAAATAGATCTGATGACAGCAGGCAGAAGACTATAGACAAAAATTCTGCACAGTAATTAAACAATGAATATTAAAAAATTATTCCAGTTTATTATTCCACATTTTGTTAAACGGCCAAATAAAGACTTAAGACTAAACAAAATACCATTTTCTTTCTATTCCATCTTGGATCTTGCTTTAAACGGCTAAACTCTGAAATTGGGTTTCGGTGTGTGATGTCTAAATTGAGTTGAGTTCTGACCTTTGTTTTGAAGAGTCATGCCAGTTTTCTGTGAAAAAAATAAACAGATTCTGGTTGTTTTTGCTCCAGACAAATTCTAAAAAGTCAAAGGAAATATTTCGATATTTGTAGATGTGTAGACGATAAATGTTTCAATCTGAAAGGAGTAAGTCTGACTTTGACCTTTCCCTCTCATCTCATTCACACCTATTACCTCAGGGCCTTCGGAAACTCAATTTCCCACAGTTCCCTGGGTGCATCCCCTCTTCTGTCACATTAACATGCCGGAATGACCCGACGGTAATGGGCTACGTTTGGCTGAAAGTTCACCCTCACTCTCCTCCTTCCCACCTCACTGATTAGCTGTCATCACCCCCCCGTTCCACTTTTTTTGATCGCCCCCCCCCCCCCCGCAAACCGGCGAAAAACACGAGTTAAAATGATTTGATCATAGTTTTGATCCGACGTTACGCTGTGACTTCATTCATGAAACAGAAACCAAACGGCTTCCACAGGAACTCCGGCAGCATCCAAAGCCATTTGAGACCATCTGGAGCCCATCGTTCTGCTGAGAGAGAAAGATTATTCACTCGAGGTCACGGCAAGGTCACCCCAAGGTCAAAGACTCTGCAGAATCAGTTTAATTTTTGCACGGCGATGCGACGTCACGCTGTGACATCATTCATTAGGCAGAAAACCAAACGGCTTCAAAAGGAGCTCCAGCAGCTGCCGGTCGCTGCTGACTGTTGATCCCGAGTGTTAGCATGTCTGTTGGTTAGCATGGCGCCCAGGAGGAAAGACACCAGAAAGGCTGAAGGTTTAAGGCCGTTTGAAACTATCTGGAGCCCATCGATTTGCTGACGGAAATATGATTCACAGCTGGAAAACCTTCAGGATAGTTTCAGACTTCCAGGAGCGGACGTCCCAGCAAGGTCACCCCAAGGTCAAGGACCAAAACGCTGCGTCCCAGACTCTGCGGGCCTCGTTAGCAGGACATGGCACCGCTGCCTCTCTGTCCCACAATTCTTCAAGTTTTTTCATACTTTTGAGACACCTGTGTTGAATGTAACTCTTTTGTTTGCGTAGTTAAAGTTGTGTAGTTAAGTGATTTCGACCCTCACAACCGAAGTTTAAAGAAAAGCTTTTGATACGTAAATAAACATTTTGAATCCAAAGAAAAGCCGGTCCTATGTGAGGAAAATCCCCCCGTCGTGACAGAGAACTAATCCCAGACATGCTGGAGAAAGCAAAACAGGGCTTGGGTTTCAGGAGGTTAAAGGTCAAAGGTCAGGACAGGCTGAGCAGGCTCAGGTCTGCCGAGCCGCACAACCAGCCGACGTTTGTTCAGACTCACACAAAGCAAACAGCTCAGTTAATGCATTTAAACCCTGTTCAGAGACTTTAGGACGTCCTGACGCGTAAACCCGACAGCCGTCAAAGGTCCACCTTTTGGTCACATGACCGCGGCTCCTCTCAGTTCGATCCGCGTGAGACAAAGCGAGTGTGGTGTTTCTCTCATCTCAGCCGCTGCACACGTCGCTGTGTGTCAGGTGTGTGTAATAAAGGCTTTCATTTGGTTATGGGGCTTCAGGAGGGCCGTCCGGAGGAGCCTCAGATTGGATCTGCCGGGTGTCAGAGGAAAATGGGAAATAACATCAGCTGTCAGGAGAGAAGATTTGAAAAATAACCTGTCATCACTTCACCCCCCCCTGCTCTCATTCGCTTCTCTCCGGCTGTCCTCTTTTTCACCTCCAGTGTCAGACTCATGGTATCATCACTGCTCTTTCGGGCTTTCTCTCACTTGTAAGCGATTCGAATCAAACAGCCCCTGCATGGAGATTTTTAATGAAAGAAAGACGAGCGGATCACCGGCTGTCTTTCAGCTTTTTTATTTATCTGTTGTCATTTCTGGAGCACTTTTGAGAAAAATATCCTGATCTAGATTTTTGACTGGTTAAGTGTGATTAGCATATTTAAGATAGACGTTAGAAATAAACGAGCGGATTAACATGAAAAGCTGCTGATGATATTGACAAAAGTTGCCTCGGTAACCAAGAGTTTCTCTTTTGGTTGGAAAAAAAATAAAATGGTGTTAACATCAGCAATGTTGAGACAGTCTAGAGAGATTTTCCCTGAGTGGGGAGGGGACGAACTTTGATTAAATTCAGATAACATCGCAGGAAAAGGGTCCTCACATGTGTCAAATTCATTAATACCAAACAAGGAAAACAGGGCTTTATTCTGTAGACACTCAGAGCTGATTTGAACCTTGAACCTCGTTTTTTTTTCTGACTCTCTAAATGTTCTTTTCATTTGCTCTGTCACTTTGTCAGCTCTCAGAGAAACGGCCCGCAATGAGACTCTGAGCTGGAAATATTAAAGAAACACTGTCAGGAATGATCGAAGATAATTATTAAAGGTGAGACGGCTGCAGGCGACAAAACAGTGTGTGTCTGTTGGCACGACAG